CCACCGGGCCGAGATCGGCCGGCGGAGCTGAGGTGATGCTGCTGCTGTCCCTTTGCCGTTCTTCTCACCCTCGGCTCCAGGGTTTTGCCGTGGGGCACAGCTCAAGGCTGCTGCACATTCAGCCTCCCTGTGCTTCCCCTTCCACACCAGTGAAAGCGTGGCAGCGCACTGGTTTGCACTGGAGTGGAGCTGAGGGAGACAAGGTTAACAGAAGGGACAAGAAGCCAGGGGCAGCCCTGGACAAATGCAGAAAAGCAAAGGGGCTGCGTGAGCTGTTCCCTCAAGGTCTCCTTCCCAGTTACTCGGCCACCTTGAGCTTTCCTGGAATGGTAACATCTGAGGAGGTGCCGTAGGAGGAGAACAAGAAGCTGCTGCAGACACTTGGCTCTTTTCTTTCAACATTTAGCCATGCTCCTGCCTCCGTATTTATTTACGGACAGGGACCGAAGCAAGGGCATGTTTCTGAATAATGCTTTACCCTGTCCCGTTTCTCCCTTCTCACATGCTGCCTTTCTATTTAAAGTCTTGAGCTGTTATTTAATACAGATGGATGCTAATTTAACACCAAGCCTCTCGCCACCTCCTCTAATTCTTCACCGAGGCATGCAGATTCAGAGAGCCAATCTGCTTTTAACTGGGCTTTTCATGATCTTCCAAGCTGTTGGCTTTTAAATCACTTCTCAGTTCATCAAATACCAAACTGCAGAAAAACAAGCTTTTCAGAACAAATCAGCTAGCGAGAAGCCAGTGGTCTTGCCTAGAGCTAGGTGAATCCCAGCACAGCTTACACGGGTCACAGGGCAAGGGCAAGTTCACCATCCCAACAGCAACTGCGTCACAGCAGACTGATTTACTCCCAATTTAAGCACTCGGGCTGTGATGCAAAGACCTTCAGGTGATGCCTAAACTGTGCTGCCCTAAGAGAGAAGGAAAACCAAGTTTTGAAAAGGACTGTCTTTTCTTAGAAGGGAGAAAGTTTCTGGAGCAAACCCCTCTCATTTACCTTTCCCCCCTTATTTCTCCCTCAGACACCATTGCCAAACGGTGCCGCGTTACTCACGTTGGAGCAGTGCTTCCCAAAGCAAACACTCCCAGCTATGCCTCGTTGATAGCTCAGCCTCCACGCGCTGCTCCAAAACCAACATTCTCGGCTTTTCGGGGCTGGCACTCTCTACCCCGGTCCCTTTCCACGTTTCTCCAGGAAGAGATGACAGCTCTTGCCCCCGCGCTGCTCCCCCCGTTAGTCAGAGTTCAAGAGAAGCTGTCCCAGAAGGCAGCCTGGGGTAAGACATTTGCCTGCACACGTGCTAGAGCAGTTGGGAGGCTCCCTCGGCCCTCTGCAGAACACAGCAGTGGCAGCCGAGTCACCTTTTAGAGCCCAGGGAGTTTGTCACCGTCACCCGCTCTCTTAATCTCACCCCTTCCACACACGAAACTTCGCTCTTGCTGTTGCAAAGCCCATCAAGAGAGACTACGGCGAAGGCAGCAACGCGCTTCATCCCTCCCCTGCTCTGCCACTGATGCTCAGGCCCCGCTCTCCGGGCTCACCGAAGCTGGGGTTGAGGTTGGCTCTGTACAGAGGCAGCTCGCTGGGCTAGCAGAGCCACTAACGGCATCCTGGGGAGGAGGAGGAGGAGGGTTGCCATCTGCTACAGGTTGCTGCTGGGCTCAGAGTTAGTAAATGCAAACCTGCTTCTTCCATCACCTTTACAACGCGCACAACCTCTCCTCATGACGCGCCGTCTGCTTCTTCTCGTGCTGCAGGACTCCCACCCCCTTCGACAGAGCACTGGTCGGCGACCCGTTCTCCATGCCCACCGTGGAGCTGGAGACCCTCAGTGTTTTGGAGGTGATCTCCCACAGACGCAACTTCAACAGAGTGCCGCAAGGCTGGGTGCGGGTTCTACCGGAGAGCGACGAGCTGTAGGACGCGTGCTCCTTTCCCCATCGCTATGGCTGCTTTTCTCGCTAGACTCCAACACACTGCGCAGGGTAGGGGAGAGGAGAGTAAGTATTCTTCGTGAAAGCTAAGCTAGTGGTCTCGAGTTGTCATCCTCTTCGGTGGGACCTGAACAAGCCCAGGTCTGGGACCATTTGGAATTCCCCTCGTACCAGCCACTGTCACAAGGGTGCTCAGTGCTAAGCTAACCGGCCAAGTGCTCACCGTTAGTGCAAGCAGATCCGGGTAAGCTCCCGTACAGAACCCCCCGTACAGCCTGTCCTCTGCCCTCCCTCGCGGAAAATGGCAGGGCCACACCGAGCTGTCCCGCTGCTCCTTCGCCGACGCACAAGACCTGCTCCGACAGCTGGTGCCTTTGCAGAGAAATTCCATCTTCGGGACAACTCTGCATCTGTCATCCCCGTCAGGACGGTGAGAGGAGGCGATAACTGAAGAACACCACCAGCAAAACAAGTTACTGGAGACACTGGCATGTTAAAAGCAGCTACCTTGGGCCTGGCTGCACAACAAAAAACAGATGATGAACCGAGCGTGTTTGTTTATCAACACATCTACAGCACAGCCAGGATGGATGGGAGGGGAACCATGGAAGCTGGACATTTGTGCCCCATTTTCCACAAGCTACCAGCTAGCACTTGGCAAGCTGTTATTTCCCCTCCCCTCCTGCTATTCACATGCCTTGCTTGAACACCCGAGCCCTTGGGTTGACTTTGGCCAGATTTGCTTCACGGAGGTGGTCAGTAAGGACCAGCCCGCCTGGACCCGCTGCGCTGCAGAACGGCACCGGTCTGAAGACACTGCCAGGGCGCGGGGGGACTCTGACATCGGCGGGAAGGGAAAGCAGCACAGCCCTGGCTCCGGCGCAAGCTTCTCCATGAATGTAAAAACCAGCAGCGAGGATTTGACTACAGGAGTGTTTTCAGCAGTGACAGGCAGCGGGACATGCAGCTAACAGTCTGTAGGACAGTCGTCAGAACATCTGGAAACCCCCGCTAACAAAAACCTCCAACTTAACACAGGCTTTCTACAGCGGCTTTTGTCAGGTTCCTACTGTTCCCCTTCCTTAACCTGGCAACAGCAGGAGCATCAGGATAAAAGTTTCTTTTTCCACCACTGCGGTTAAACCGGGCAAGTAAGTTTTGTGGTAAAAACGCGGTTATCGGCCGCCTCGCTTGTGAGGTGCATTTGTAACGCTGTGCAGACAGATGCGCGGAGCAAATCCCACGCAGGGATTCTGCTGCCACAACGCACCATTCAGGCAGGAAACTTTCATTGCTCTGTTCTTCCCCCAGCAGCAGGAGGGGACAAGCAAAAGGAAAGAAAAAAAGTCTGCTCCTTAAACATGAATTTATGATGCTCAGCTGCTGTCCTGTTCCAAACCCATCTTTCTCCTTTGTCCATCAGCTGAAGAACTCGTGTACCCTTGGGGACCTGGCTGGAAATAATAAATAAATAAATTGCGATAATGTAAAGCCTGCTTGCATTTGAGGCCTCTGCACAGCGCTCACGGGCCCCGACTGCAGAGCGGTGGCAAACGTTGCAGCCCTGCCCGACCCACCAGCAGACCTCTGCCCGTCCTCCAGCGCTGCCCGGGGGTGGCTCTTCCCTGACAAAAACTAAGTCACCTACGCCCAAAGCCCAGCTCTTTCTCCAGAGAAAGCCAGCCTGCCCGCCAGCCGTGCCCCACGTGCTACCTGACAGCCTGGCAGGGCTGGCAGGACCGGTGGGACCCAGAGGCATCGCACAGGGCAGCACCCAGAAGAAAAACATGGACCTGCTGCCGCTGCCCGCTCTGCATCTTGGCTTTGGCAGCAGCCAAATATAAATCAAAGTCCTCAGACACTGTGCTGCAGGAAGCAGGGTCTAGGCAGAGTGTTGAAAAATTCAAATATTTTAATGCATTCTTTTTAAAACAAGCAGGTGAAGCTTCAGAACAGGTCCCATCAAGTTTTGCTTTACAGAAAGCTGTCCACAGATCCATTACGTGAAAGCAGCTGACATACAGACACACTTCCAACCCTCCAGCCATGTGTACATACATCTCACTCAACGGCAGGCTCCATGCAGGACACAGCTGCTCCTGGGCAAGCACTAGAGCTGGAGCACAGAAAGAAAAGTCTCATGTCTTATCAGAGCAGGACGGAGGGGGATCCACCTCACAGTTCAACAGCAGATGGTATCCACAGGCCCGAAAAGCCCCACCCGGGCTCCAAACCCCCCCTCACCAAGCGGGCAGCTGCACCACATCCTCCCCTGCGGCCACCACGAGCCCAGCCCCTGGGGGCCTGCACCGCATCAAAAAAGTTTGGGTTTTTCGGTTTTTTTTTTTAAGCAGGAAGTCAGGAAAAAGGAGGGAGGAAAATTCTGTGGCAGTAGTAAGGCAAAGCCATGGGTTTGGCACGTCTGAAAAGCTTGTTTTTCAGCCCTTCTTCAGTCCTGGTTTAATACCTCATTAGAGTAATACGTCATTAATTACCTGACATAGACAAGAATCTCTGGTTATATTTAAGCAGCCCATAGTGTTCAGACTGAGGATATCAAACGGGCTTGAAAAGGGTTTGGTTTTGTTTTTCCAGCAGTTTATTTCCAAAGTGGGATACACTGATAGCACTGTAATTCACCTGATCCACAGAGCCCCGACAGCCCTTCTGTCTGCCCCCCGCCCCAGCTCAACATACGCCGCTACCATGGTAACTAGAAAGTAACATTTACTTAGAGGAGGAGGGCGGCATGCCGTGCTAGGGGCTGCTGTGCTTCCCCGCGTGGGCACCCATCCTCTGCGGATCTTGCGACGGGTAGTGGATGGGGCCCGGGGCTCTCATGAAGGGAGGCGGGGGCCCCATGGCGTGGAACATGTGCGGGCCGAAACCTGCAGGAACAAAGTTGTCAGGTTCAGACAAAGCAACGGAACGGTGAAGGCAGATGTCCTGCTGCTGGAAACTACCGGCAGAAAGCAGCTGGCTTACGGCTGTGCCTGAGAACGGTGGACATCTCCCATGGCTCCTCACATCCCCAGACTCCTTCCTCTCTTTCCAGTACAACGGGGGGCAATCCTTACCCAGCACACACCTTACTCGCAGATAAAAGCCAGTGGGGGGACCGGAGAGCTGTCTGTAACGCCAATCTAAATGCTTTCTGTTCAACTGTGGAGCAAAACAAACGCATCCACAAGGGTCTGACATCCCGTAAATAAAAGGGGGTTGCCGGATAGATACATACGCACAGCCAAACGCAGGCTGGCATTCCACAAGCTGCAGAATTACCCTTTGCAGTTCAGGTTAACATGGCATTTACACGGCCAGTAAAAGCACTGAGTAGGTCTCAGTACCAGTAACAGGGATCTCTGACATGCCTGAGACTTTGCAAGTGAATACATACCACAGGAGGCAGCTCAGTTTAATTAAACTGTGCTGACAGCTCATTTCAGATCATCGGTTTACACTGTATGATCAGGGATGAGGAAAATCAACTCGGGGCATGCACCAGTGCTGCGGTGCAGCCAAGCAAGGAGGACTAGATCATCTACGGCCGAGCCAGACACCCCACCCGCAGGGGAAACCCACGTACCTGGAGGCGGCGGCGGAGCAATGCCAGGAGGAGGTGGCAAGGCAATGTTAACCACGGCTGGAGGGCCGCTGGGAGGTAGGTTGAAGTAATTTGCAGAAGCCTCCTCTTCTGCAGCTGGAGGAGGGGGGAGAGCTGCAGAAAAAACACACAGTGATTATGGAAACATCTCTCAGTCGAGATACGCAGAGGTACCTCCCTTCAGAGAGGAGGCACACTCAGCTCTTCTGCAAGGGCAAACTGCTGCTACTACTGCATGTCCGAACCGGAGCGAGTAGCGGGACCGCACTGTAACTCCAGAACAGCCACCATGTTTCTTCACCCAAAACCAGCTTTGCTTTTTCCATCATACAATACTCACTGGATCAGGAAAACATTAACCAAGCCTTGAAAAGCGTGGGTTGCCAGTATCTCAGACCTAAGTAACTTTAATTCCGCTTTAACTTTTCACTCATCACGTAACGAACCCTCTTTTCATCGCGAATTTGCTTTGAGACCAAGCTCGCCTCCCATCCCAGCTGGATCCGCTGCAAACCTGCCTAACTGCCCACCCCGGGCTCGGCAGTGCCTCTGCTGTCCTGGACTCTGTCACTGCTCTCCGAGGCTTGACACCAGCCTCCCTCATGGGAGCAGGTCAGCCTTAGGTGTTTCAGAGATGAAAACAACTCCCTTACCTCCGGGAAGTCCTGGAACTGGCTCCAGCTTTATCCCGGATTCTGTAGTACCTTCCTTGTCCTTTTCTTTTCCTCTTGCTGCCTGGGACCTAAAAACCAGACAAACATTTGAGAACAAGGACGAGAAAAAGCAGGATAAGCAGATATTCCACCACAATACAATAGTTTCCCATTATCTAATCCAGATCCATTGCTTCAGGCCAAAGATGAAAAATTCCCAGAACATCAGAAACAGCTGGTACAAAGTGCGCAAACCGTGCTTACAGGAGACGGATTTGAAAGAAAACTGAAAAAACTCATTCATAACCCTCAACCACAAAACCCCTCACACAATCTGTGTCATCTCCAACCCAGATCCCACTGCTGAAAGAAAACCAGACTGGAAGAGGACCCCAACTATATACCAAATCAGCATCTACTACAGCGCAATATCCAACCCTGCTCAGCAGGACTGCATCAACCAAGCAAAGGATCTTGTGGCAGCATCCTCAAGGATTCCCCCCCACTCACCTCCCCCACTTGACATTGAGCCTGCGACCATTGACAATCAGCTTGTTGAAGGATTTCTCAGCAGCCACCTCTGCAGCTTGCCGGGTGGCAAACTGGATGAAAGCACACTGTTGTCTCTGCACTACAGTTATCGTCCGAATCTCCCCAAACTGGTAGAAGTGATTCCTGTGTGGGGGAAAAAAACGGTGATGAAATCCCACTCCCCATCACTGCAGGGTA